TGACCTGGGTGTGAACATAGGTTTGTGACGCCAGGGAGAAAAATAGCCACGGAGTTGCCAATCTGTACAAATTAAGGCATCGCTGCTCCCTTCTTTCCAGGTCTGTATTACGTGTGTTTGCACGCCTCAGAACAGGTATTTAATGGGCACAGAGGCACTCTGCTAAAACTCAGGAAGGCCTGGGGCTCTGCCTGCTGTTCACCAGGCTGCTCCCTCTGGGGCGTCCTTGCAGAGCATTCTCTATCTTGGCACTGCTGCCATTTGGGGCTGGAAAGTTCTTTGCTGTGGGGGGCTGTCCTGTGCACTGCAGGATTTTTAAAGCATCCCTGGCATCTATGCACTAGATGCCAGTAGCACCCCTCCCTCCCAGTTGTGACAACCAAAAACGTCTCCAGACATTAGCCACTGTCCCCTGGGAGATGCAGTTGCCCTGGTTGAGAAACCCTGTTATGGGGGATAACTACAGTTTTGTTGTCCAACCCATACTTTTCTGGCACCGCTTCTTCCCCTCCACCTCTGTCCACATGGTCACGGAGGAACAGCCATTATTTGAACAATGATCTGTCCACCTGAACCACATCTGGTCAGACTCAAGGCCAGCCAGTCAGGGCCCCCCTTCCAGGAATTTGGCACAAGGACTAAGGGACTGCAGCTTAGTCTGGCCGGAAGCACTCATACAGCAGCCAGCCCAGGTGTGAGCAACCGGGTTCCAACATGCAGACTGCCCCAGGAGAGGCCAGTGTAGTCGAGAGAAGAAGGAAGCAAGTAGGCAGCAGTTAGACTGAATGGCCTTCTGGATTTCAGACCCCTCACTCTCCACAGTTGCCCAAGTTAGGCTGAGTGAGTTCCTGTTACCTATGACCCAAGGGCTCTGACAAAGCTCTTATTCCTCATCTTGTATTTCTTGGTTATTAAAATGTTTATGATTAAACTAAACCCAAAGCTAGCAAGAGGAAGCAAATAATGAAGATCAGAGCAGAGATAGGTGAAATGAAAAACAGAAAAACAACAGAGAATCAACAAATCCACAAGCTGGTTCTTTGAAAACATTCACTAAATTGACAAACCTTTAGCCAGACTAAGAAAAAAAGGGAGAAGCACAAATAACTAAAATCAGAAATGGAAGTGGGGACATTGTAAAAACGAGATAAAAATCATTATAAGAGAATATTATGTGCAACTCTAGTCAACAAATTAGATAACCTAGAAGAAATGGACAAATTCCAACTAACATATAAATTACCAAAACTGAAAGAGAAAACGTGTATGACTCAATTACAGTTTTGGTATTGAGGGATGATTCCCATGAGATGGAGTCTAACTAGAATACATTTCTCCAACTCCTGTGGATCCTTTTACATTATTCTGTTTCCACCCCTCCAGCAACACTCCCTCCCCTCTGGCACGGCCAGAACAAAGAACAGGAAGCCTGAGCCCATACCGGAGACATTTGAGAACCATGTCCAAATCCACCAGGTAGGAAATGACGTAGGGCTTGCCGTTGTCCAGGGTCTCCAAGGCCTGAGCAAAGACAACAAGATCAACACGGACACAGGAGCACAGGAATGAATCAGTAAATCGGGTGACAAACAGCATTGAGGCTCAGCATGGTCTGAGAAGGGCTGGTGGCCCCTTTGTGCTGAATTTTGAGGCATTTCTGGGCCTCTTCAATGGCAGGGAGCAAGAGGAGGGGGATGGGAGGAAGGATGCACCAACTTCTCATTCAATCATTTCACTATATTTTTTTCAAGCTTCTACTCTATGGAGGATCCAGGTGCTAGGAATACAGAGGCGATCATGGAGCTTATAGAACAAAATGCCTTTGTAAAGCAATTATATTCCAATAAGGATGTTAAAAAAAAAAAAGAAAAAAGAGCAAAAAGCCAGCAAATAATGACATGAATTAGTCACAAGTGTTAAAAGAGTGTTACAAAGTGCCCAACCCAGTTGGAGAAACTCCAGGCTGAGAAGCACCCTTTAGGCTAAAACCTGAAGGATATGTAGGAGGAACAAGGCAAAGGGGAAGGTATGAATGGTGACAAAGGGAAGAGTACCCTGGGCAGAGGAAACAGCATGTGCAAAGGCCCAAAGCTTGGCAGCGAAGAAGTTGAGGGAAAGCTGGTGAGTTGAGCTGTGTGTGTGAGGGCCACAGTTGGGAGATAGAGCCAGTTCAGGAAGGCCTAGTAGATTATGTTGAGGGAACAGGGCTTTATCCTAAGGACACAGAATGTGATGGAAGGCTTAAGAGCAGAGTGCCATGGTATAATTTGCCTTCTAGAAGCTTCATTCTGGCTGCTATGTGCAGTATGGAATGGGGGAGGAGAGGGTATTGCCTCCTGGTTTCTTCTGCCTCTTGCAGACAGGGAGGAGGCCCACCACACAGAGAGGGTCTGGGAGAGGTGTCCATCCCTCTGGGGGGTCTCTCTCCAGGAAGGCTTCCCCATCATAGCCCCCTCCCCACCCGAGTCTCCTCCTTTCTTAGCCAAACCCACTGCATCAAAGGAAACACTAAGAGGCTTCCCAGGTTGGTACAGGAGGGTACCCCAAAGGTGTCCAGCCTACGCCATTCTGGCCAGTTACCTGTCAGCAAGGCAACACTTTCCTGGCTATCCGTGGGATATCCATTCGCCATGTGGGATGAGAGGGGAGAGGGCGGAGAACTTACTGCTAGGTAGGTCCGGTCCCGCTCAATCAGATCAGCCAGGCGGTTCAGCAGCCAGCCCCTTTTGGACGCATCCATGCGGCGCCAGGGAGAGCCCAGCTGGAATGCAGCCCGGGCAGCCTTCACTGCCCTGTCCACGTCTTCCTGGAAAACACCCACCGAGGTACTTCAGGCCTTCTCAGCAATAACCACCTCCAAATGCCTCCTGCCCCGCTGCCGAACGTGCCCACAGGAGCTTCGGTCAATGCCTGTGTGGGAACTGCCCCAAACAGTTCCTCCCAGCCTCAAAAGGGCTCTGTTTGACCAGCTTCAGAATTAAATGACTGGGCTTCTCTCCTTCCCAGCAGTCATGGTGGGAATGAGGATCCTGATGGTTTCCATTTCTGGATTTCCATTTCAAAATCCCCCAAAGAGGGGCCTTCCCTGGTGGCGCAGTGGTTGAGAGTCCGCCTGCCGATGCAGAGGACACGGGTTCGTGCCCCGGTCCGGGAAGATCCCACATGCCGCGGAGCAGCTGCGCCCGTGAGCCATGGCTGCTGACCCTGCGCGTCCGGAGCCTGTGCTCCGCAACGGGAGAGGCCACAACAGTGAGAGGCCCGCGTACCACACAAAAAAAAAATCCCCCAAAGAGTTAACGTAGGGAGAGGCACTCAGGGATCAGCACTTAGAAATTGGCCATTTTCCCCCTCTTCCTTTCAAAACAAGCCCAGTGAAATTAACCATTCCTTCGGAGACGACTGGCAGTCTCCAACTAATGCAGGTTTAACCAGCTTCCCTCTCCTGGGAAAGCAATAAAATCAACACAGCTACCATTTTCCATATAGGGAGATGTGTATCAGGAGGTACGGAGCATAGTTTTCATTAATATTAAATACATTTACCATTAGACTACCCTATGAGCCAGGAAAGTATTCACACTTTCCTTTAGCAAAGGGAGAAAGGCCTTAAATGTACATATAGAAGACTGTTTTAAAGCAGAGGACAGGAGGCATTCTTGAATTATTTTTAATGCTTTTTCTATTTTAATAAATGAAATGTTTTTTACTGAAAGTTTAATTTTCTTTTTTTGCGGTACGCGGGTCTCTCACTGTTGTGGCCTCTCCTGTTGCGGAGCACAGGCTCCGGACGCGCAGGCTCAGCGGCCATGGCTCATGGGCCCAGCCGCTCTGCAGCATGTGGGATCTTGCCGGACCGGGGCACGAACCCGTGTCCCCTGCATCAGCAGGCGGACTCTCAACCACGGCGCCACCAGGGGAGCCCCCAAAAGTCTAATTTTTAACTTTAAAATTAGTATTACCGTTTTTTCATTACTATGGGTATATATAATCAAATCCAAATATACTATAGACACCATAGCTAGATCTCAGGAGATCTGAATTCTGCTGAAGAAGATTTCCATCTAGCTCTGTACTTCCCTTCTGTGACCTTCAACTTCCAGGTCTGAAATGGACAGTTTGGATTAGATGTTCTCAAATTAAATTCCAAGTCTACAATTCTGCAACTGTATGAATTTTTTTATATTTTATTTTTAATATATCTTTATTGGTGTATAACCTGCTTCACAAGACTGTGCTAGCCTCTGTGGCACAACAAAGTGAATCAGCCACATGCACACATATATCCCCTCCCTCTCGAGCCTCCCTCCCACCCTCCCTATCCCACCCCTCTAGGTTGTCCCAAAGCACGGAGCTGATCTCCCTGTGCTATGCTGCTGCTTTCCACTAGCTAGCTAGCTATTTTACATTTGGTAGTGTATATACGTCGATGCTACTCTTACTTCGCCCCAGCTTCCCCCTCCCCGCCGTGTCCTCAAGTCCATTCTCTACGTCTGTCTACGTCTTTATTCCTGCCCTGCCACTAGGTTCATCAGTACCTTTTTTTTTTTTTAGATTCCATATATATGCGTTAGCATACAGTATTTGTTTTTCTCTCACTTCACTCTGTATGACAGACTCTTAAGTCCATCCACCTCACTACAAATAACTCAATTTTGTTTCTTTTTATGGTGGAGTAATATTCCATTGTATTTGTGTGCCACATCTTCTTTGCACAACTGTATGAATTCTTGAACCCGGGTACAATCTAGCACTTTTACCTGCAAGGAAGAGTTTCTGTGGTTTCACTTAACTCAAAAAGTTTAATTGGCATTTTTAGTTATGAAAGTAATACACACACAGTTTCAACCATAAAAAAACATGTTAGAGAATGAAACCGTCCTTGTGCACCCCCAACCCACTCAGCCCTGCCCTGAAGTTAAGTTACCATATCTCACCTTGTCCCCTTCAGCTACGTGACAGATGACATCCCCAGTGGATGGATTGATGGTGGGGAAAGTTTTCTTGCTGACAGAATCATGCCACTCGTTGTTTATGAAGATCTACAATGAGAAGGAAGAAAGTCCTCAGGATCAGCTCTCAACCTGAAACTGACCACCAGCCATGTTTAAAAAAAAAAATCAGAAAGAACAAATAGGAATTAGCTTCAGAGGGATGTGGCCTAGAAGTTAAAAGCACAGGCCTTGGAGACAATCCAAGCTGGAGCACCCACTCTGCCAAGTACTGTGGGTAAGTCATTTGACCTTTCAATGCCCTGGTTTCTTTGACCTGAGAAATGAAGACTATGTTCCTTTCTTATCAGTAATCTGTATATACTGCTGTGTAACATCATCTCAACAGTTGGTAGCTTAAAATGCTTTATTATTATCTCTCACAGTTGTGTCCATTGATTAGGCTCAGCTGGGCAGGGCTTGGTCATGTGGTTGCAGAGCGAGGGCACCTGGGGCTGCAGGTGCAAGATACCTTCTTCACTCATATGTCTGGCACCACATGGTTGCTTGGGCTTCCTGACTGTATGGCAGACTCAGGCTAGTCAGACCTCTCACATGACAGCTGGCTTCCCTAGAGAGTGTTCCAAGACACCAGGCAAAAGCTGAAAGGCTTCTTAAGACCTAGCTTCAGAAGTCACATGGCCTTATTTCTGCCACCAATTCCACTGGTCAGCATGAGTCCCAGGCCCAGTCCAGATTCACAGGGAGGGAGGAGAGCCTCCACCTCTGCCTGGGAGGAGCAACGAAGAATTAGCAACCACTGTTCCTCTACCACACTACTGTAGTAGGGTTGTTATGAGAACCAAGTTAGATTATTCTTTCATCCATTCAGTAAATATTTAGTGAACACCTGCAATGGGCCAGGCACGGTTCTAGGGCTGAGGACACAGTGGGAACCAAACTCAGGAACTTTTCTCTCATGGAACTGGCGTTCTGGTAGGCACAGAACATAAAGAAGCAATCAAATATACAAGGCAGTCTCAGACTGCAGTCATAAGTGCAAAGGAGAAAAACAGGATCCATAGAGAGTACTGAAGTGGAGGAAGAGAGAGAGCTCTAGCTGGGATAGTCAGGGAGGGTTTCTCTGAAGAGCAGACATTTGACTTGAGCCCTGACTGATGAAAAGGAGCCAGCCATGGGAAGAATGGGAGGATGAGCAATACAGGCAGCAGGAACAGCAAGTGCAAAGGCCCTGGCTCAGGTTTCACAGCCTCACACCGATTCACTGAACCACTTTAAGGAGGAGGTCAGCTACAGAGAAAGGCAGGCCGCAGTGGGTGGGGGTGAGCCTGGCTGGCCTTGTACTGTTTCCTTCTGCTGACCAAGATGTCAGCACCTGGAACCATGTGAATGATCTACCCATCACCTGCATGTCATGGAAATGGCTATTGACCGTTCCTGGCTACTCATTATGTGGCAGCCCCTGTACCAGAAGCTTTCCATTACTGGATCATTCCCATTTAAACCTCATAGCAAACCTAGGTAAGCTGCATCCTCCCTACAGTTGGGGGACACTGAGGCACAGAGAAGTCAAGCCACCTGCTCAAGGTCACACAGCAGTGAGAGCAGAGCCGGGATTTGAACCCAGGTCTTCAGAACTCCAAGGCCTGTGCTCTTTGCCCAGTTCTTCCCCCCAACTCCAGACTCCAGTCAGAGCCCATGTCTGCCTTCGAGGAGGTCAGAACTCTTGTTTCCTAATCTCCATCTTTATGGTTTACTTAACTGCCCTGCTGCAAGTTTGATTTTGAGTTTTTATTATGGGTGCTATAAAAAGCACCAGCCTCTAAGCCAGACAGACATGTGTTCGAATCTTGGCTCTACCCCTCACAAGCTGTGACCTTGGGGCCAATCCCTTCCTTTCCAGATGCTTCATCAGTCTCTGGGGATGACACATCCGGGGGCTTAAACGTGAGGACTAAATTCAACGAGGGGTGTAAGCTCCTAAGCCAGGACCCCACACACAGTGTGTCTCACCACCACAGTCAGTACATTACTCCAGATACCTGCACAGCAGCATACTAAATTAGTTTATCCTGAAAAAGTTTTCATTGTTATCTTGCAAAGATCAGGAAGTATGAAGCGGAGAGTGGGCCAGTCTGGTTAAACTCCCCAGGTCCTCACCCCTTCCTCCCTGGGCGGGGCCCACACCGTCCCCTGATCTTGTCTAGGACCCTGGAAAGAGCACTCCCTGGTCCCTGTCTGCCTCTCAATGGCCTGGATTTGTTGAGTCACTCTCCACTGCTGGATTTTCAATAGTCCATCCTCCCTTCTCACTAATAAGATAAGCTGGGGTTTGCAGGAACCTGGACTCTTCCTTCTGTTTAGAGTTCCTAAAGCCAGACTTCAGTGGTGCCCTCCTTGGGGAGGGGGAGCTATAGGGTGAGCACCGTTCTCATACTAAGCCTCTGCCAAAGTGCTGCTTCAAGGGAGCAGAGCTTCATAGTGACTCATCTTGAATAAACACAAGAGTGGACGCTGGGCCAAATGCTTCACAACCTCTCGGCCAAAAACCCAACGCCTGACTTACATAACACGCTAACTCACGCTCCCTGGGAGGGGGTCCTACCGGGCTCACACTCCCCCATTATAGTTTCTAGAAGCAGAGGGACAGACAGCCTCATGGCATCAGAAGCTGACACTTTGAATCTGGACTGCTGGCAAAACTCATAGAGCTTTTCCATCAAAATGCTCTATTTTCTCTACATTTTAATAAATACATCTCACTGCATTTTATAAGTTGGATTCACTCATCCATGCAGTGGTTAAGTGTTAACCAAGTGCCATTGCCATGCTGGGCACTGAGTGAAACAGCCAAGTCCTGGCTCGTTGAACCAAAGTCCCGGAAGGAGAGACATGATCAACAAGCAAATGAAGAGAGAAGCAGAAACAAACAGGCAACAGTGAGGACCAGAGGGGGTACCTGAGGCAGGGGCTTGGGGACACGAGGAACCAAAAGGGCCCCGTGGCTGCAGAGTGAGGGTGGGGGAGAACAGAGGGGGCTCTGGGTTCCGCACCTGCTGTGTGCCAGGACCTGCACTGGTGCTGGGGTCCTGGAGGGAACGGGACAGATGTGGGGAGTGTCCATTCTCAGTGGGGATCATGGACTTTTTTTTTTTTAAATAAATTTATTTATTTTATTTTATTTTTGCCTGCGTAGGGTCTTCATTGCTGCGCACGGGCTTTCTCTAGTTGCAGTGAGCGAGGAGGGCTACTCTCCGTTGCGGTGCGCGGGCTTTTCACTGGGGTGGCTTCTCTTGTTGCAGAGCACAGGCTCTAGGAGCTCGGGCTTCAGTAGTTGCAGCACGCGGGCTCAGTAGTTGTGGCTCGCGGGCTCTAGAGCGCAGGCTCAGCAGTTGTGGAACGCAGGCTTAGTTGCTCTGCGCATGTGGGATCTTCCCAGACCAGGGATTGAACCTGTGTCCCCTGCACTGGATTCTTAACCACTGCGCCACCGGGGAAGTCCGATAATGGACTTTCATTCTGTAACTTGCTTTTATGAGTAAGTTTATCTTGGACGTTATTCCACAGGCATATCTGCCTCATTATTTTAAGCAACATAGCAATCTTCAAAACTAACGGACCCCAATTTATTTAATCATGTCCTACAAATGCACTTTTAGGAAAAGTTTTCACTGCAAGCAGACCTCAGAGATGTTTTGGGTCCAGTCCAGACCATCGCAATAAAGTATTGTAATAAAGGGAGTCACATGAATCTTTTGGTTTCCCAGTGCATATGAAAGCTATGTTTACATTATACCACAGTCTATTAAGGGTGCAATAGCATGATATCTAAAAAAATCAATGTGCATACCTTAATTTAAAAATACTTTATTGCTGGAGCTTCCCTGGTGGCACAGTGGTTAAGAATCCGCCTGCAAATGCAGGAGACATGGGTTCAAGTCCTGGTCCAGGAAGATCCCACATGCGCAGAGCAACTAAGCCCGTGCGCCCCAACTACTGAGCCTGCGCCTAGAGCCTGCGAGCCACAACTACTGAGCCTACGTGCTACAACTACTGAAGCCCACGCGCCTAGAGCCTGTGCTCTATAACAAGAGAAGCCCCTGCAATGAGAAGCCTGTGCACCGCAACAAAGAGTAGCCCCCGCTCGCCACAACTAGAGAAAGCCCACGCACAGCAACGAAGACCCAATGCAGCCAAAAATAGATAAATAAATAAATAAAATTAAAAAAAAAAACTTTTTTGCTAAAAAGTGCCAATCATCCTCCAAGCCTTCAGCAAGTCATAATCTTTTTGCTGGTGGAGGATTTGAAATGTGGTGAGAATTACCAAAATGTGACAGAGAGACAGGAAGTGAGCCAATGCTGTTGGGAAAATGGCGCCAATAGACCTGCCCAATGCAGGGTTGCCACAAACCTTCAATTTGTAAAAAACGCAGTATCTACAAAGTGCAATAAAGCACAGCACAATAAAATGAGGTCTGCCTGCATTCCTGACAGTGCTGCTGCTGCAAACATCCTTAGACATGCATCTTTGCAAAGCTGGGGCAGGTTACTGTATTTAGAATTACTGAGTTGGAGGATAACATGATCCGTGGCTTCCTTGGATATCTTCTATTCCAGGCCTCCGCGGATTAGGAACTGCAAACAGAAACTTGTGGGGAGGGGTGAGAAGCTGGGGCAGGACAGTAGAGCTGGGAGCAGGACTGCAGGACCCTGGAGAGGACTCTTAACCAAAGCGAGGACAGAGTGATATTCTAGTGCCACCTCCACCCCATGGCAATGGACAGTCATAATCTGCCCAAGGTCGCCAAAAAAGGTTAAATGCCACTCAGCAGCTCCAATTTACAGATGCAGGACCCATCCTAGAAAGACTTTATTTTCAAGCTTTGATGCATGCAAGAATTAGGGATCTGTTACCTAGGAAATCTACACCCCTGGAATATGTTATTTTCCCTAAGAAGGAGTGAGGAAATGCTGTGGCTTTCTATCCTGGGGTGAATCCTGCTGGCAACTGCTTTTTCAGTGGCAGTTGGGTAATTTATGTCTAAGAGAAAACAGATCATAAGGAGAGAAACATAAACATGGAATGCCACCCACATTCACACTTATCCACACAATCATTTATGTACCTCGGGGTTAGTTTGGGGTTAAGGCCAAGGGCAGCCACCTCCCCCAGAATGTCTCCCTGAACATTCTTTCCTCATCCCCCAGGGCCTTTGGTCTCACATTCCTGGACTTTCTATTATTTCTACAAAGATCTTAAAACTCCTAAACAAGCAATAAAAGCAACGTGATCAGTGTGGAGATACGTCACTTGACTCATTCAGCACACAGCCATTCCAAACCACTGCTTAGCCCAACAGAGGTTTTGGCTCATTCCATAACAATCTCTCAAGGAAAACCAGATAAATCAAACTCCTATTCTGTATATACCACCTGTTAGCAGTGATTATCTGCAGGGGTGGGATATCAGAGGACTGTTATTCTTTTCTTTTTCCTTTTTATATTAGCTTATAGGCCACTTATTTTTAAAGAAATAAAACATTTAAAGTCCCCTTGAATCACTGCCCACAAGCAGATTCCCTATGCAGCCCTGCCCTCACGCCAAGGAGCATTTTCCTTCCAGGACATTTTTAGCCATTTATATGGACCTATGTTTATCCACATTTGATAGAAAGTCTGTTTTGATAATTTTAATTAGTTTCACATCACTCAGAGTACTAGACATTTTCCCCTCTTGAAACATTGTTTTTGAGATCCATTATTCATAGGGTTCCAGCTAATTCCTTTAACTACTGTGTGCACAGAATTATTCTTTCCTATAGCTGTAACGTATGTTGTTCATCTGTTTCCCCATGGAAGGCAGGCTGGCTTATTTCTTGGCTTTTGCTAATATGCAGCAATGAACATCTATATGTGCCTATGTATATGTCCAGTGAATTTCCACCTCACATACTTCTGTAATGCTTGACTTTTTGTACTGAGGATGTATTACTATTGGAATCAGAAAATTCGATATAAGGAGAGACCCTTTTTTAATTCTCTTTTTGTCAGTTTTCTCTTTAGTTCCTGAATGTTGTGGTCAAGAGGTTAAGAGTAGAGACACAATCTTTTTTTCCTGCCCACAAGGCACAGCTTGCAGGATCTTAGTTCCCCGACCAGGGATTGAACCCTCGCAGTGAAAGCGCAGAGAACTAACCACTGGAATGCCAGGGAGTTCCCAAGACACAAATTTAATTCACCCCGAACTCCCATTCAACTTTACTGCAACCTAGCGCAGCCCTCCAGGAAACAAATTACAACTACAACAGTGCCCGCATAAAATGGAGTTATACCACCATTATATTCTAAGCTCAAAAGCATCACTGTTATCTCCTATTTAAGGCTGCAGTAAATACGGAGGTGCAAGAAGCCATGAGCCAGGCACTGTGCAAGGATGCCTCCCTTTTATCCTGACAGCAACCATATGATGTAGATGGGATTTTTACCCCATTTTACAGATGTAGCAGCTAAGGTACAGAGCTAAGTAATTGTACCACCCTCCATATCCCTCTTTCCTTGCCTTATTTTTCTCCATAGCGCCGATCGATCAGCTTGCTCCATACTATGCATTTCGCTTGTCTTCCAGGATGCAAACTTCCCATGATCAGGGATTCTTGCCTGTTTTGTTGGTTGGAATTGGGGTTGCTGAGGTGTCTTTTGAATGAGTGAACCTACCCGGATTGATGTTACTGAGTGACAGGCAGCCTGAGTCCAGAGAGTGAAATAGTGTCCAGTGATTTTTCTCATCTTCATTATTATTATCAACCAACATGAACTGGTGATGTTGAAGATGAAAAGTATTAGTCACACCTCATCCAAAGGAATTACTCTGCTGAAACCACACTCCCTTGAGTTTTCCTTTGAGTTGTCTTTCCAGATCTTAATTACTCTCCAAGTCAGGGAAGAAAAAAGGAATGAAAAATGAAAATCAGTTTCCTTGACAGAGCTGTGTCCCTGAAACCCACCAAGGATGAGAAATGTTGATCTTCATGAAGCCTGGCCATCATCAGCTCCCCATACAGGTCCCTGCTGGTGAGTGGGGGAGGAACTTGTCCTGTAATCTCCCTAACCCAACAAAGAAGTTCCCCCAACCCTGCAGCTCCACCCAGGACAAGTAGAGGCAAGAGGACCCCAGGAAGGTTGACCAAACCACCCCACTCTATAGACTCTTCTGGTTATGAAATAGATGTGGGAAGGAAAAGACCTATTGCCTGTGCCACCTCCTCTTCAAGGAGAGACCCAACAAGCTTGAAATGCAACATTCCCCCAAATACCCTTGGGTGAGAAAATCCAGCGCCTATAGAAGCAACTTCAAAGCCTGGAACAGCTCCTTCTGGGGAAACTCCAGACTCCAGAACAGTTCACTGAACGTCAAGGAATCAATAATCCCCAGGGACACGTCCAGGCATATGATCTAGTTTGTACCTAGAGCTCCTGGTAAGAGACTCAAAATGTTAGGATTAGACCTTGCCATTCTTGCCATCAGGGATTGCAACAACTCAACACTGAAAATGGCCCCAGAAGCTTTAAAAGGGGCCTGTTCCAGCAGAGTGTGGATTGCTCATGCGGATTGCTTTGCAACCCCTGGGAAGAATAAATAAGATCTGAATGTACTGGTTTAGGAAGACAATCCAGATACACTGTTCAATGAGACAGCTTCAGAACAGTAAGTACAAGGATCTCATTTAAGTAAAAGCAAAAAAAACCTGGTGCACGCTCACTTGCCCATGCTCTCACACACACACTGAGGCAAAGAAAAAGTCTGCAAGATCACAGACCTACCAGTTAACATGCTCTTAAAGGGAGTGCAATGGGGTATACAGGAAGTTTTACTTACTTCTGCATTTGTATACAGTGAGCAAGGTTGCTTTTTTTTTTAATAGCATTCTTTTTTTTTTTTTTCTCTTGCACGGCGTGGCCTGTGGGATCTTAGATCGAAACAGGGGCCCCCTGCAGTGGAAGCGTGGAGTCTTAACCACTGGACCAGCAGGTAAGTCCAAGGGTTACTTTTAGGATCTCAAAAAAATCTAATAAAGAAAAGCAGCTGCAGGAAGATTTCACTCTGCTCCAACTTACCTTATGAACTAAATCTAGAGAACACGACTCGTGCTATCGACCAGAGCTGTGCGCACGTTTGGACCCTGTTTCCTCACCTCCACATAAGCACAAAGGAGGATGATCTTCATTAGATCCTGTGGCCACAAAGGCTTGGGATGCTGCTGCCTTTCCCTTGAGGATATTTCTGCCTGATGTTCAAGCCTTCCAAGCATGAACTCCTCCTTAAGCAGCCTAAGGAGCAGCAGCCGCTGCCTTTTTGGCTTGTGTTATGCAAAGGGCATCTTATTTTACCTTTTGTTTTTATTCCCTTGCAAATGACCATTTGTAACACCCTTTAAATCACACAGATGTGCCTTTACCCACTGTCTCTGTGCAGATTTGCAGCCAAGCTCCTGACCAGACAAGCAGGTCCCCTGTTGAAAGCAGCCAGCCAGGGGCCATCTCTACAGCATCCTAAGTCAGCAGTGACCCCTTTATTCCCACCCAGAGTTGCAACAATAGTACCATGGAAGGTTCTGGTTATCGGCTTACTCTTGGGGGCCTAGATGTGGACCCCAACTCTGCCGTTGACTTGAGTCTTTGGGTAACTCACTAAACCTCTTTGTAACCCAGTCTCTTCAACTGTAAAATGGAGATAATCACAGTACCTACCCCACCGGGCTGTTTAAGGATTAAACGGCACAACAGGTAAATGCTTAGACTGGTGCCAGGTGCAAAGGAGGTACACAGAGAATATGAGCTGTTACTCCTGTTAAGTGCCCACGTGGTGTATGAACCCCTGTGCTCACCCTCTGACCCCTTCCCACTTTATAGAAGTTGAAGCTCAGAGAAGGGCAGCAACTACACTTTTTACACAAACAAAATGAACTCTCATAACCAATTTCCTTCTCTGTGACTTTCAGCACTTTACCCAAACTCAAAGATCAAAAGAGAAAATATTCCCAAGTCCTGAATGAGCAAGAAATCAGCTACTGGGAGTCAACGTTATCCTGGAAAGTCCCTCCTTTCTTTGACCAAAGAAAGAGCCTTGGAAGGCACAGACACCATTTGGGGATTGCGCTGTTGTAGCGAAGGTCTCCACCCTTTCCCAGTTGCCAGCAGTGGAAGTGCCAGGACGCCGAGCGGCCGGGGCCGTGGCCTTGGCCTCTCGGCGAACTGGTGACCCTTAGCTGAAAAGGACTCCTTTTTTTTTTTTTTGGACCTTCCTTTTTCCTTTTGGACGTTCTTGGACGAGGGCATGAGTCAAGGGATAAAAGACTACGAAAAGAAAACTGTTCCTGCAAAGAGGGTCTTAAATGGACATGTCCTCTGGGTGGGTGATGTCGTGAAGACTCTGCGCAGACACAGGACGACTAAGGCCCGAAAGCCGAGAACGACTGGGGATGGGGGAGGGGGCGGGGGATGGAACCCGGAAAACGGGCAGCGGCCAGACAAGACAAATAAGTGGCCAAAGTCACAGCTGCATAATGGAACCGAGGTGTCAGGGACGGCGAAGGGGCCAAACTGCTCGCAGGCAGGGAAGGGAAGATGTGCGGAAACAGCAACTGCAGCAAACCCCTCGAGTCCCAGCTGGATAAACTGAGGCCCGAAGAGATCCAGTCCCTTCCCACCCGGCGGCCTCCGTCCCCAGAGAACAAAGCGCTGGGGCGGCCTCACCTTGTTGTAGAAGACCTCGGGCTGCTGGTTGGGGGCCGGCACGGCCGGGGTGGCGGCGGCCGACAGCAGCCGGCGGCCCTGGCAGGGCCGGGCGGCGGCGAGCACAACTGCGCGCAACATGCCGAGGCTCGCACTGGAGTGCCGAGCGGAGCCCTGGCGGCTTGAACTGGAAGGACGGCCGGGCGGGCAGCCCCGTGCGCGACCTCTCCCCGTCCCCGGCGCGGCCGCCAATGGGCAGGCGCGCGGCGGGGCCCTGGGGCGTACCCGCGCCTTCCCCGCCCCAGGCGGAGCTGCGCCTCGGCTGCTCGCCGCCAATACGCGCGCGCGCCCGCGAAGGGGCGGGTGGGGCTCGAAGGTTGGTCCTCCTGCGCGTGGCGCGCCGTGGGTGTAGCGTGTCAGGATCTGGCGAGTTCACCGCACGTTGGCTGAACCCCTACTGTGTGCCTGAACCCTTAATGTGTACAGGCAAGAACCGAAGCGACCCTGGCCCTGACTTCAGGGGGCTTACACTCTAGTGGGAGAGGCCAACCTTAAACCAAACACGAGGTAATTTCAGATTGTGATAAGGGATGTGAAGGAAATGAATAGGGTGAAGAGGTAGTTGGGGCAGAAGGCACTGCTTTTAAATCCCTTGGTCAGGAATTGAGACCTGAACTGTTAAGGTCCTGTGACTGAGGGAAGCATTGCAGGGGGAGGAACAGCAAGGGCAAGGCCTTGAGATGGGACATCTGACTTGTGTTGCAGAAAGGGAAAAACTGGAGGCCACTGAACAAGGGGGAGAGGGTTGGGATGTGAGGTGAGAGAGGTGGGCAGGGCCAGAGGTGGAAGGATTTTAGAGGCAGTGGTGAGGGATTTGGAAGGGAAGGATAGATCTCGGAGAGACAGCAGTGAGTGGTCCTGAGCAGAGATTTTTAGTTCCCTGCCCAGGAATTGAACCTGGGTAACCTAGATGAAAAACAGAAATCCTAGCCACTAGACCACCAGGGGCTAGAGGCTAGACGCAAAGTGGCCCTGGCTCCTTCCCCCATTTGAAAGCAAGAATGGTTCAAAGAGGCAAAAACTGTAAAATCAGGTACAAAATTTATTAGTAGAGACACAGCACAACTGTATGGGAGAACACACAGAGAAGCAGTTTATTTATGTAAGTCAGAAGTTAGGCAGAAATACATACCCAGAGAGAAAGGGTATGGGCATCCTCTCTAATGAGGAGGAGTGCAATAAAGAGGTGATTTAAATCTCTCATACAGGACAGTTCTTCCAGGTCTTTGTTTACATTTGGCCAATTATATATTTTTTAATTAATTTATTTTTGTTTGGGTTGGGTCTTCGTTGCTGCGCATGGGCTTTCTCTAGTTGCGGCGAGCGGGGGCTACTCTTCATTGTGGTGCGCGGGCTTCTCATTGCGGTGGCTTCTCTTGTTGTGGAGCATGCGCTCTAGGCGCACGGGCTTCAGTAGTTGTGGCATGCAGGCTCAGTAGTTGTGGCTCACGGGCTTAGTTGCTCCGAGGCATGTGGGATCTTCCCAGACTAGGGCTCGAACCTGTGTCCCCTGCATTGTAAGGCAGATTCTTAACCACTGTGCCACCAGGGAAGTCCCTTGGCCAATTATCTTGTTTCTTTTTTCACACCTGACCAGTCCTAGGACATCCTCAACATGCGTGCACATCTTTTTGCTAAAATGGAACCCACCTCAGAGGCCTGTGGGGGTATGTCCACACTTATTATGGGGTGGCACCCCCTCCCTTTTTGAACCCTAAAGAGCCTTTCTGCAGATGTGCAGACAGGGAAGTTTTCCTTGACCTCAGGAGTGGTCATCTTATCTCTTTACTTCAGCAGAGCTCAGCTTCTGCCACTAGCTTTGTCCTTAGAGTGGACAAACACCACTTGACAAACACCAGCTGTCTGGCCCAGGGGCCCATCTATCTCCTACCTCAGGATGACTTGCTTGATTTGCATCTTAAACTAGCTGGTTTCTCCTTCTTTGGAAAATGGACTATAGGAGGGCAAGGCTGGAAGTAAGGATCTTGCAAACTTTTATTCCATAGACATCCCAGAGCTGGGCACTGGGGACACAGGGAGGAATGAGAGGACATAGGATAGGAAGACAGATGGACACCAGGTCAAATGTGTGCATTTCAACTAGGTAAGTATCAGCAAAAGTCCAGGAAGGAGTGAAGAGACCTGGCAGGAGGAGCTGAGCTGGTCAGAGATAAGTGTTTTGACAGCAGAGAAGCAGAGGAAAGGGGCACATCTAGGTGGCATGTGTCTCGGGAGCTGTTTAAGACTCCAGCCATTGGAGCTGAGGCCAAAGAGGTTGAACAAGGCCCAAGTATGAAGTACCAGGCAAAGATGTTGATCCAGCATCTGAAGGAGACCAGCAGAGAGAGAGAGTTTTGCTTTGAAGAGCTAATATGATGTCAAAAGGATATCGTAATAGTTAACAAAGCTGCTAAAATAGATTTGCCACAAAATTCTGATGGCTAAACACAATAAAGTCCCTGCCCACATGAGTCTCACACAGTAGTTCCCCTCCAGGTGACTCTGAGGTCAAAACCTGATTCCCGAAGTCGCCCTAGGTCTCAGCACCATTCCAGACAACGGAAAGAGAAAAACTCATTAAGGATGGCACAAGGGAGGTTTTTCTGGGCTGAGCCTGTTTCATTGGCTAGAATTCAGTCATGTGGCCATTCCTCCATGTAAAGGAGTCTAGAAAACAGGCTATGTTCCCAGGAAGAAGGGGAAATAAGTTTGGAGATCAGCTGCAGAGATAAACTGCAAAGTGAGTCTCCCTCTCTTCTCTGAATGCAGCACCCAGACCCCACTTCCTGTTCCCCTTCCCCAAGACATCTTGCTTTTTTCACTTAGTAATGTGTGTGGGAGATCTTCTGTACCTGCACCCAAGGAAAGTGCTCTTGAATGGCCATTTAGGTTGTTTCTGATCTTTTGTCATTATAAACAATGCTGCAATGCATATCCTTGTCTTGCTTGAGAAATTCATAGAAATGGAACTACTAAGCTGAAGGATATTTACAATTTAAGTATAGCTATTACTATATTATTCTCCATACAGGTTTGATCAATTTATGCCCCACCCCCTGTCATGTCTGAGTTTCCTCACACCCTCACAAATACAGCTTATCAGATTATTTTTTTTTAGCTTTGCTAATCCGGTAGATGAAAAATAGCATTAATTTGAATTTCTCTTCTTAGAAATGAGCTTGAGTGTCTTTGCCTGTGTAAAGTCACATATTCTTCATGTGCTACAAACTAACTGTTCATGTCCCTTGCTCATTTTTCTATTGGATTGGTTGTTGGTTTCTTTAAAATTGATTTGTAGGGACTTCACTTATATCAAAGCAATTAACCTTTATTCTGTCATATGTAGTGCAAATACTTTCTGTCAGTCCTCATTTATCTCTTTACTCAGTCTATAACTTGTTTTTATTTTCGCTTTAGAGATTTTTTTGTTTGTTTTTGGTGGGGTTTTTTGGCCAATGCTTTCTTTTGTGCCTTCTGGCTTTTGTAGTATGTCTAGAAAGCCTTTTCCACTCTGAGATTATTTGTTTTTAATTTCTCCTATATTTTTTCAAGTACTTTTTTTTTCAACTTTGTTGAGATCTAATTGACATAAAACATTGTGTAAGTTTAAGGTATACAACATGTTGATTTGATATATTAACTAGCACCCCCATCACATCACCTAAATATCATTTCTTTTTTGTGGTGAGAACATTTAAGATCTACTCCCTTAGCAACTTTCGAGTATATAATATTGTTAACTATATTACCAATATAGTTAACTGTAATACCATGCTGTATATTAGATCTCCAGAATTTATTCATCTTATAACTGGAAGTTTGTACCCTTTGACCAATATCTACTCATTTCTCCGATCCCCAGCCCCTCACAACCACCATAACCATTCTACTCTGTTTCTATGGGTTTACCTTTTGCAGATTCCAATACAAATACAGTCATACAGTGTTTGTCATTCTGTCTCTGACTTATCTCACTTAGCATAAAGCCCTCGTGGTTCATCCATGTTGTTGAAATGGCAGGATTTTTTTCTCATGGTTGAATAATATTCCATCTTCTTTATCCATTCATCTGTTGATGGTTGTTTCTGTATCTCACCTATTGTGAATAGTGCTGCAATGAACATGAGAGTTCAGATATCTCTTTGGGATGGTTATTTTAGTTTCTTTGGACTCAGAAGTAGGATGGAGAGATCAAAAGGCAGTCCTCCATACTGTTTTCCATAGTAGCTGTACCAATTTACATTCCCACCAGTAGTATGTAAGGGTTCCCTTTTCTCCCCATCCTCACCAGCACTTGCTATGGTTGACTTTTTGTTGATGGCCATTCTAACAGGTGTGAGGTGATATCTCATTGTGGTTTTGACTTGCATTTCTCTGATGATTAGTGAGGCAAGTCTCTTTTCATGGAACTGTTGGCCATTTGTATGTCTTCTTTGGAAAGATGTTTATTGGTTCCTCTGCCCATTTTTTAGTCAGGTTATTTGTTTTTCTGCTATTGGGTTGTATGAGTTTTTTAATATTTTGTATATTAACCCCTTATCAGATATATGATTTGCAAATATTTTTCTCCTTCTGAAGGTTGCCTTTTCATTTTGTTGTTACTTTTGCTCTGCAAAAGCTTTTTAGTTTGATGTAGTCCCATTTATTAATTTTTGCTTTTGTTGCTTGTGCTTTTGGTGTCATATCCAAAATATTATTGCCAAGACTGATGTCAAGGAGATTTTTTCATGTTTTTTTTTCCAGGAGTTTTATGCTTAAGTCTTTATTCCAGTTAATTCGAGTTAATTCTTGTGAGTGATGTAAGATAGGGGTCCAGATTCATACTTCTGCTTTCCCAACACCACTTATTGAGTATTTCTTTATTTTCTAGTACTTTTATTGTTCATATTTTATGCTCTAAAATTTGATTCTTTTATTAATTTTGGTACAAGGAAAGATTTAGAGATCCAGTTCTTTTTCTTTTTTTTTTTTGATGTTATTTGGAGTTCCTAACCCCATTTATTAAATAATTAATCTTTTCCCCACCCATATGAAAAGCCATCTTTTTGTACTAAATGCCCTTGAGTAGTTGAGTATTTCTGAACTATATTCTGTTTCATGGATCTGCCTATTCACGTGCCAGTATGATGCTGTTGTGGCCACTATAGCTTTCTTGTAAGTCTTAATCTCTTGTACTAACATTTCTCTTGACCAAGATTTTTAAGCCTGGAAGTGATGAGTTTGCAAATATGCTTTTGAGGGATCCCTCTTGAGACAGCATGGAAAATCAATTGTAAAGAAGAGACAGCCTGGAAGCAGAGAGCTGACTTGGGAAATGATGAGGGCCTGGTTAGAAGCAACAGGGATGGTTAGGAAGGAGGGCACGGAGGTAGAATTGGCAGGTCACTTGGTAGAGATGAGGGTGAGGGAGGAGTGGAAGATGGTGCTGAGATTTCTACCTTCTGCTGTTCACTAAGAAGTGGAAGCCAGGAAAAACAGTAAATTTGGTTGTGGGGACAGGAAGGAGAAATGCATTAACATATAGACATTCATTTATGCTGAGATGGCGTGCGGCGACATGCTTGGATCCCCCCTGGTGTGCATGGTTGTGTGTATCATTTTAGCACACGTTGGTTCACAGGTTCATTTATTCTGGTTTGTTCGTCTGTGGTGCTCACCATACCCCACCAGCAGCTTTCTCACCCCTGGTCCCCTAGTTTTGGGGACCCATCTTCCCCATGCCCATCCTACCCTCTCTGCTTAAGGAAATCTTACCTATCAAGATTCAACTCAAATCCCGTCTTCTGGGGAAGACTTCTGTAACCACACTAGCCTCCTTTAGCTGCTTTCACACAATTTTCAGTTCAAGGTCAACCAAACACTGCAGCCGAAGATTAACTGCATGTACTGAAACCCTAATATATTTGTGGTTCCATTTGGCTCAGTCTGACCAAAGCATTAAATACAATTCAACTCTCAACCTAGATTTCTCCCTGACAATCTGTGTTGGCTCTATTCTTTCTTCCATCTTTCTTTCAATCTGTTTTCGTGCTCTTCTGTAAGTCTTTATTCTGATTTTTTTTTAAGATTTTTTTTGACTGTGGACCATTTTTAAAGTCTTTATTGAATTTGTTACAATATTGCTTCGAGGTTTTTTGGCCTTGAGGCATGTGGGATCTTAGCTCCCTGAGGAGGAATCGAACCTGCACCCCCTGCATTGGAAGGTGAAGTCTTAACCACTGGACTGCCAGGGAAGTCCCTATTCTGATTGTTTTAATCTCTTTTTTCTCTGGGTCCAACTTTCTTATTCTCCATTGCCCCTTGTCTATGGAACTCACTGCCAGGAAAGGAACTGACAAAAGCAAATTATCCTTAAAGGGAAGAAGAATGAAGCAGGGGGAGGAACTAAGCAAGCAAAATGTAACTTCTTTTCAGGTACCGCAGAGGGGAGAGATGCGGAACACTTTGACGTGAATAAATGTTGTCCTCCCACAGTACTGAGATCATTGGGAGAAGCACCGAGGTGGGTAAGAAATAGTCATTCACTTCCTCTAAGAAAATATACAAAGTCTTAACTTTGAAGTACTCCAAAACATTTCATTGTTATGGCCCAACAGTGTGTTTTCAGGTTGAAAAAGATCTACTTCCACCTGCTCTCCAAAAACGGCAGTAACTGAGGTGTCCATCTAAAATGGTGAGATTTTAGCTCTTTGCTTATATAGTCCCAGCGCTGGGACACTGACACTATCAAATGGAAGGTGTGTTTTGTTTTTTGCAAAAAATGGTGGGGGTTAATTCAAAGCAACATTTAAACAGGAAGACATTCTCTCTCAGAGGCAAGAGGAAAAAATGTGATCCAGCCTGTGTACAGGCTGCCCTCCTTACTTGCCTGTGCGCGCACACACACACGCAGGCAACTCACCCTGCCCCACCTGCAGCCCAGCCCTTGGAGGAGACACACCCACCACACGGACTGCCCCCTAAGGCAGTGAGGAGGTACCCCCGAGATTCCCCGGCTCTGGAAACATACTCACACACTTTCTTCATGGCAGGACATGCCCTCCTTGGTTGGGTGGGGCTTTTTCCTCTTCCTCCTTTTCCGGGTGAGGCAGCCAGCACCTCTCAGGAAGCCCCTCAGAGATGGTAAAAATCCATGCCTCCAAGTGGAAAGAGCTCTACAGTCTCGTAGTTTAGGTTTGAATTCACTGACTAGCTGTGTGATCTTAGGCAAGTCATGTAAACTCTTTGAACCTCAGTCTCCTCACCTCCTAAATGGGCAGAAAAATGTATCTGCCAGTTGTTTTAAGGGTTCAAAATAATACATGTGCAGTTCTTGGCACCTGGTAGGTACTAAATACCTAGGAGCTATTACTCCATCCAGGGGATGAAGTGAGGGGAGTCTAGCCATTCTCTTTGCCCAGCTTCTCCAGATGGGGTCCCCAAACAAGCAGCATTAATGGTGAGCGCATTAGAAGGCAGACCTGCAGAGTCACACTCGGCACTATAACCAGATCCCCGGGTTCATTCCTCTGCACATTAGCCTGTGAGAGGCTGCAGCCTCAGCTGGTCCAGCTGTGCCAGGCCCTGGTGGGGCCCCTGCAGGACTGTATCTCAGCTGAAGCACAGCCTCCTCTTTAGCCCCCTCTGGACTCCAGCCACGTGAAACACTGGCATGTACTGCAGGCTTCATATGTAATCTTTGTGGCTCAGCTCATTTAATCTTCAAACAATCCTGGGAGGGAATGCTGTTCACCCCATTTTCCAAATGAGAAAAATAGCCCTACTAGATGAAAAATCACTTCCCTCTTGTCACCCAGCCTGTCTGTTACAGAGGCAGGATTGAAACCCAGGGAAGTTGGAATCCAGAAGCACAGCTGACAAAGAGCCTCTCCTTGACAGGACTCTTGCTAGGCTTCTCTAAGCTCTCTTCTTCTCCTTCTTCTCCTTCTTCTCCTTCTCCTCCTTCTCCTCCTTCTCCTCCTTCTCCTCCTTCTCCTCCTCCTCCTCCTCCTCCTCCTCCTCCTCCTCCTCCTCCTCCTCCTCCTCCTCCTCCTCC